CATACATATAAACAATTTATCGGCTCAGATACAATAATAATAATATAACAATATTTAACAAAATATTGTTCAAGCATAATCTATTCTTTTGTTTTTACCTTTTTTAATTGACGATAACGAATTTATTGATAATGATTTATTCGTTTGAAACAATATTATATTATCGAGCAAATTTATAAAATTATTTTTATAAGACGAACATTGTGAAAATCTCACTAGTTTTGTATTAACCAACGTTTATTATTGAAACAATGCATTATTGAATCTATCCATTTGTAAAATACAAATGCATAGATCTTGAAACGTCAATGACATTTCGATTGACTCCTACGGTATACTATATCTCGTCAATACTTACTTATTCTGCGATCGCTACGTGGCAATTAATCTTTTTTTTCCTCCTCCGGATACTAAATCACTATCATTAGAAAGGAGAATTCAACCTGGCGTAACGCATGAATTCTTTCACGGCGATTAATATCAATTAGTAAAATTGCATTATTATGCTCGAAGCGTTATTTAAATCCTTCTTCCTAAATCAACCAGGAATAATATTACGAATCAATCGATGGATACTCTACGATAGTTAAGCCACGTCGATTGACATTTCAATGATTCAAAAATAAGAAGAATTTACGAGGTAATCTAATTATAGTAATCTAAGTGATAATTCGTCAATATATTAATGAAATTTCAACTGTAGTCGTCGATCAACATCTACATTCGAATGGAATATTTATCCGTTGAATAAATAATTTCTCAACAACAATGGCAACAACAAAATTTATTAATAACTAAAAATTGTTACTAAAGTATTATTACTAAAGTATACGGTAAAAATATATACATGATATATATGATAAACGTCTTATGGTATGAATGTAGAAAAAGAAAAAAAAAAAATATATATATATATATAAAATCACGTAGTATAGATAACGTAGAAAAGCCAAGCTCTTATTATACTTAGCAACTTATTATATCTAGCTAACGTATCGTACAAGTTTTTCTTCGATATAGGGGAACGGTATAATGAATAGAAAGAGATAATAATCTCTTATGCGAGTTAGTACCATCGTCGAGTTGTCGTCCATCGCAGAACAAAAGCCGCATCACCACTTGTTGTGTAGTATGTATAGATGTATAAATCTATATATATACATATATATATATATATATATATATAAGGTAGGAATCGATCGAGTAAGTACCAAAGGCTGCGATCGGTCGCGGCACGAATCCCCGTGGCGTGTTACGAATCCTGCCAATCACCGGAGTGTAATCGATATCGAGCCGGAGGTGGGTATCGGTCGATACGATCGGCTCCGCCCCGGGCGTGTCGCCGGCCTGGACGATTTATAATGTTAATATCCCCGAGCAAGACTCTTTCTCTCTCTCTCTCTCTCTCTCTCTTTCTTTTTCTTACTTCTTTATCCCTACCCTTATCCCATGAACCTCTCTTTCCTTCTCTCCCTTCTCTTTCTTTTTCCTCTTTTACTTCTTCTTCTTCCTCTTCTTCTTCTTATACTGACTCCTCGTTTTCTCCATAAGATATCAACAGAACGATGTAAAACAAAACAAAACAAAAGGAAAAAAAAGAAAAAGAAAAAATAAAAGGGGAAAAAAAAAAGAGAAAAAAGAAAGGAAGAACAATTCGATGGAGATTAACTTTTTACATTGTTTCAAATCTCGATTGCCAATACAAAGGGAAAAGAAAAAAAGATCCTTTCCTTTTTCTTTTCTTATTATATTTGTTCTCTACTTCTTCTTCTCCTTTTTTTTCTTTTTTTCTTTTTTTTTTTTTTCTTTTACCATACTCTTTCGTTAAAACGATTAATTAAACGTCACGATATTTACGATCGTAAAACTTTCTTCCTTTCTTTTTTTCTTTTTCCTTTTTTTTTTCTTTTTGTTTTCCTTTACGATTTTCTGCTCGACGATTAAAAGAGGATTATAGAAAAGATTGGTACGAGATTAGGAGGAGACGTTTAGAAAATACCACTATTTGTATTTCTCACGATTCGGTGACAGGATGACTTGCGAATGTACCGATGCGTTTTGAGTATACCACTCGTCCTCGTCCTCATCATTGTCGTTGTCGTCGTCGTCGTCGTCGTCGTCGTCGTCGTCGTCGTCGTCGTCGTCGTCGTCGTTGTCGTTCACTCGAGAAGTCGATAGTGTAACGGCTGCATCCTCGTACTATGTAAAAGAAAGAGAAGAGATGAGAAGTGGTGGAGGAAGAGGAGGAGGAGCAAACGAATGTTTATCCCGCGTTAGCCACCTCGCGAGAAGCAATGTCTCTTCCTCTTTGAAATTCTTTCTCTCTCTCTCTATCTCTCTCTTCTGTCTCTTCTGTCTCTCTTTTCTCTCTTTTCTCTTGGCTCTTCTCGAAGCGGTAGTTTTCGATGGCAAGAGCACTCGAGATAAGTCTTATGTCCGTCGAACGAGCTACAAGAGAAAAGAATCCTTTGTGTTCTCTGAAACGTAGAGCACGAAATTCGGGCTAATCGGTGATAGAGTTGAAAAGCGAAGCGCCGATTACATCTTCCTCGAGAGGAAGAAGATTTTCATATCACGAGGTATAAGATCTCCGATAGTCGAGTGATATTGTACTTTGATACGATCTTTCATATACGTGATCTATGTAAGATATAGATAGATAGATAGGATACCTAAAGGCAACGAATATCAAGATAATATCTCATTTATTTGATTGATAATCTAAAATATTTAACGTAGGTTAATAGGTATCATGATTTTTTGAATTTTTTAGTATTATTTGTATCGTGTGTTATGATTGTTATATATGATTGATTTATGTTGAATATCCGTTAATAGAAATGGTAAACATGTTTGGATATTATTACATCCAAACAAAATATTTGAATATTATTATATTCTACTTTTAATTATAATTATATTATATTTTAATTATAATTATAAATTAAAATTGTCATTTAAAATTAAAAACAAGAGATACATAAATTCTTAAAAAATTTTATATAATATATACATATATACCCTATATATAATAAACATGCTTATAAGTATTTAACATATCAAATGTGTGTATATATGTGTATAATCATTTGAAAATCATTACAAATTTTCCGAACGACCCATGAAACAACTTTTTCTCGATATTCAACGTTATAACTCGTTAAGATTATGCAATAAGAAGAGAACCATTAGCATTGAAAAGTTTCGAGGAATTCGATTGTAAACGATCGTACATCGCAAATATGCTGATCGAAAGAGGGAATATCGTTAAAAAAAAAAGAAAGAAAAATTAGGTACTACCTACGTATATCCTTCTCCTCCTCCTCCTCCTCCTCCTTCGAAGATAGGAAGGAAGGAAGGTGGAATCGATCGGACGTTCTTGGTCGTCGAACGTGTGTCATGGTTAGGGTCAAGGTCAAGCATCTTTTACAGAAAAGCTGCGATAATGGCGGTTTCTTGCCAGGAAGGAAAGAAAGAAAAAGAGGAAAAGAGAGAGAGAGAGAGAGAGAGAAAGAGAGAGAGTAGGTATCTACGAACGTGCAAGAAGGATGAAGGGTAACCAAGAAGAGGGTAAGAGTTCGGTATAAACGGTAAATTAGCATTACGCTCGCATTACCGATGTTGTGACGCGGCCTTACACGAGCGTGGATCGTCGCAGCATCGCCATACCCGGATCGCGGGGATCGGGTCTCTCTCTAACTCTGATTTATGTCGCGAATGCCGACGTACGTATGTCTCGATGTTGTATGTACATACATATATATATATATATATATACATACATACATATATATATATGTATGCATGTATACATATATGTATGTATACTTCTTCTTAGACCTTATCCAGAAGTATCCCGAGTTACGCGTTATTTATGATATCACTCGTGAGTATCCCATGGAAGAGAGAAAGAAAGAAGGATAGAGGGAGAGAGCAAGAGAGGATGGGACAACCTAAGAAGGACCCTCTTTCAATAAAGCCGAACTTAATTGTCGTCTTCGTCCTCCCGGCCTGAGACCTCTTTCGATTTTCTCGACGTTCAACTCGAGAGTACGATGGAACGACCGAGATATAATTTATTATTACGAGAGAAAGGTCAAGAGAGAGAGAGAAAGAGAGAGAGAGATAGTTTTCAAGGAAGCTCTCCAAGAGGTGGGATTATCCTTTCGGATGAGGCGAATAGCGAAAGCGGGGGCGGTCTTAAAGAACAAAGATAGATAGATAGATAGTTAAAGAGAGAGAGAAAGAGTGATAATACGTGTATGTGTACGTTTTGTATCGTAGAAAGAAAAGGTACGAGTCGAGGGAGAGAAAGATTCAAGGGAAAGACAAATTGCAGGATCGCCTATCGAACGGAGTAATTAATTAAATACAATAAAGTTAGGTCGAACCTCCTATCTGGCATCGACCACTCCTCCTTCTATCGAACGTTTCGTGCTCGCGTTCGGAGCATTCGCGATTCGATCGCGCGGTCGATGCGTTCATGGACTAACAAAACATGGTTTAAATCGTAAGCACGTCTTTCTACACCCTGCATACCTATATATTCCAATTATCATAATCGACGATCACAACATAAACGAGATATATGCATATATATGTATATATATATATATATATATATATATATATATGTAAGTATATTAAAAATTAAATAAGTATATTGTGGAATGTTAAACATTCGACGGAATGAACGCAAGGATACGAATGCAATCATGGGATAGGTAATTATAATAATTGGTCGATAAATAGATAATTAATCAGAAGGCTAATTACAAATTATGAGAGACTCGAGACAATGCTCGGTATTGTTTGGTATAGTACACGTATAAGTCAAGTGTGGGAAGCTAATAGGTCGTCGTCGTCGTCGTCGTCGTCGTCGTCGTCGTCGTCGTCGTTGTCGTCGTCGACATAACGTAGAAAGTTGTTATAGGCCGAGAGAGCTTCGCAATCAGCATTTTTTTGTGTTTCTTCTTTTTTATTTGTTCTCTCACTCTCTCTCTCTCTCTCTCTCTCTCTCTCTCTCTCTCTTTTCTTCTTCTCCTTCTTCTTCTTCGCCTTCTTCTTCTTTTTGTTTTCTCGTTCTTTTCCTATTTTACTTTAGCAGGCGGCAGTAGAACCGTCCGAAGAGAATACCGGTGGTGAGCGGTGATAGCAGCGAGCCTAGGTAGAGGTAGAGTTAGGTATAGGTATATGTATATGCAGCAGCATCCGCATCGATCTACGGGGCTCGTGATTAACGTAACTCGACCTCGAAGATACCTACCACCACGCCAGGTAATATATGATTCATACTGCTTCGCCAGGCTCGTAGTACTTTCGAGATTGTACAAAGAGGTACGGCAAGAAGCAGGTGTAACCAATTATTCCTGCTGTGAATTAGTCGCCGAGTGCGACAGGTGCCAAGCTAGTATAGGTAGTAGATATTTTCTCGTTTTAACGTTCAAGATAGTATAAGACGACGGACTTGAAATCATCCACAAATCGTCAAATTTTCAAATACCCATTGGATGCGGTATCTATTGATTATTCTTTTCCTTTTTTTATTTATTTTTATTTTTTTTTTTTTTTTTTTTTTAGAATCTATCGAGATATTTTTAGAAACTACAATTGGAAATCGAAAATGTTATCGGCATTGGTATCATATGTCGACTAGATGAAAATACTACTTACTACTATGTTTTCTGCGAACTATCGTCCTTCTTCCGCTACGGTTATTGTGCGAGAATAGCCTTCCCCGAAGCGACGTTCAATCAAATAAATAATTTTTAGGGCGAACTGGGCGGTGCTCGAACCGCCACGGCATAAATTATATCCGCCGACGCAACTCGAACGCGGTCGAGAGCTGCATATTTATACCTAGCGTTCCGCTGGACCCGCTACATTTACCACTCTCTCTCTCTCTCATTCTCTTTCTCTCTTTCTTCTCTCCTTCCATTTCGAAGAAGATGGCTCCCGGTGAAGAAAAAAAGAAAAAAAAAAAAGACAGAAAAGATTTTCCAAGTTATCTTCCTCCATTAAAAACTTTTTCAAGAAAACTTTCCGACAATACCGATATATAAACTGGACATATCTAAGTTACTTAGATATACTTATCTATGTTCGATTGTATTACAAGAAAAAAAAAAAAAAAGAAAGAAAAGGAAAAGAAAAAAAAAGCAAAAGAAAAAAGAATATAATATAAAATTCACATACAATTGGATTCTGATCGATCGGACGATCTTACAATAAGAATATGAGAATAATATGAATATGAGGGGATATACAATAAGAATATGAGTGACTTTAATACACATGGCTAGACAAAAGAAGTCAAGGTGGTGCCGTATGGGTGATGATGATCACAATGTTGGTGGTTAGTTAAAGTGGTCACACGGATGGAAACCGACGGACGAAGAAGAAGAAGAAGAAGAAGAAGAAGAAGTAGAAGAAGAAGTAGTAGAAGAAGAAGTAGAAGAAGAAGAAGTAGAAGAAGAAGAAGAGGAAGAAGAAGAAGAAGAAGAAGAAAAAGAGCCGCGATGATCCGTGGGTAATGCGCGTTCTTGCGTTCCTCATCGTGCGTGACGCAGCGAAAGCGCGTGGCTGCTGCCGCCGCGAGTGGATATCTCGCCGTCTGGCTTGCACTCCTCTACTCCTGCTGACTACATCGTAACCTCTACTCTTTCACCGATGCGCGCGACTACAGCCGCGAGACTACGCGCCTTCATAGAAATCTACGCGAGCCTTTATGCTCGTATATACGCACAACATTGCGTCTAACATCGTGAACGGACGTATTAACGGCTAGAATCGAGCGTATGAGTGAGCGAGTAAGAGAAAGAAAGAGAGAGAGAGAGAGAGAGAGATAGAAAGATAGATAGGTAGATAGAGAGAGAGAGAGAGAGAGAGAGAGAGAGAGAGGTGACCAGGAAGGTACTGCTATGCGTTTGCATCTATTCCCTCGATCGTCTCGATATTAAAGTGATTAAGAGTATGACGATAAATGGCGAAATAAATTACGAGATTGGAGAACTTTGACTTTGATTTGAATTTTATATATCTATACCTACATATAGAGGTACCTTTAAGAGTAGAACCAATAGGATGATGAACATTTTCCCTTACAGTCACAACGATCATTTCTATCTCTTTCTCATTCTATGTTTCTGTTCGAGGAGAAGATTACGTCACGAAATTCGTTAGAGAGAATCGCGGGAGTCCACGAGACATCTCTCTCTTTCTCTCTTTTTTCTTCTCTCTCTCTCTCTCTCTCTCTCTCTCCCTCTTTTCCTATATCGACTCTTCTCGTTTTATGTAAAACCCTCGGTCGTAGCTAACGTCATTAATCATTCACCGGTTTGCGTTCGTGGATACGCCAACGATTTCCCCCTCGGTGCCAAGTTACCTTCCCTCCCTTTCTCCCTCTCATCTTCTCCTCTCTTTCTCTTTCTCTCTCTCTCTCTCTCTCTCTCTCTCTCACTTTTACCTCCCAGCAACTTCTTGGCGTAAAGGTACTTACCTACAACGAGCGAATCGAGCGAACGAAGGAGGCGCCTCACCGCGCCGCGCCGCGCTACGTTTCCTGCTTGCCGCTGAAAAAAAGACTCACCTGGGGTCTTCGATCTTTTAAAAGAAGAAAAACCGATGGGATTACGTTCGTATACGTCTTTGATATATCTACCTACGTCTGATTTTGCTTTTTCGCGCTAATGAGCACGATATTCGGGATTCGAGGATCTCTCTCTCTCTCTCTCTCTCTCTCTATTTCTCTGAGAGGCATCAATAAAAAAAATTCTAGATTTTTATAGGCTGACGAAATGGTGGGAGAGAAATCTAACGGGGTGGCCTGGAGGGAGGTGGAGGATGAGTGGATTGGACATAACGAATTTTTTTTCTATTTCTTTTTTTTTCCTTTTATCCTTCTACAAAACCGTGATAATACTTAGGTACTTACTCGTTGATACATAAAAACGAAAGCTTTTGTCTCTCTTTTCCCGATCGAAATGTAGTCCCTTTCCGATATATATATATATATATATATATATACATATATATATATATATATATATATATGTATATATATATATATATATCGGAAAATTTATATATATATAAAATTACACGGCTAGAGTCCGAGATTGACTGGCCATTAAGGCACGGCGCGTTAAAATCTTAGCGCTCGTCGGCAGTGGTGGTAGGTAGCCTACCTACCAAAGCATAATTACGACCTGACGAGCGTGCTTCGCCGCACGTTAGCGTGACGTCGAGCGTGCACCCGAGCGCGTAACGATATAATGAACGATTTCTTAAATAAGTTTTCGATAAGGAAACGTATTTTACTTTTTTTCTTTTTCTTTTTCCCCCGTACGAGTATATAGCGTAACAAGAAAAAAAAGAAAAAGAGAGAAAGAAAAATTAAAACAAAAAAAGAGAAAAAAGAGACAAAGTATTAAACAAATTGAACGATGGAAAGCCTTGATTATTGCCTTGCACCGGATAAAATATTACTCGATAAATGGACTCTTATTACGCAGAATTTGCCGATACAATTATTAAAACTATTCCTATATCATATATATTATTAACAACGAATTGCTTCCATTTCAATATTTCACCCCGTGTACACGACGAATCTTGGATATATACAGTTACGGACACTGATATGTGTACGTATACCTATACGGACACAAATACGCGGGGAAGTATTATCGTAGATTAAAAGCAAAAAATAAAGAAAGCAAAAAAGACAAAAAGAAAAAAGCTTGGTAACGATCAGTGAGAGTGAGGGAAAGAAAAAAAAATAGTAGGAAGAAAGGAAGGAAGGAAAGAAGGAAGGAAGGAAGGAAGAAAGAAAGGTAGGAACGGGAGGGGTTGGGCGGAGTGGAGGAGAAGAAAAAGAGGAGAGGGTACAAAAGGGTGGAGAAATCTCGAAGAAAAAGAGAGAGAGAGAGAGAGAGAGAGAGAGGAAACATCGGTCGTAGTTCAGCCCGTGGCCCATCAGATAGCAGACTCGGTTGCTTTCATGGACGAAGGGAGGAAGTACCGGGAACGAACTCGACGATGTAGGATGAAAGAGAGAAGAGAGAAAAGAGAAATAAGTGAGGGGGTTAGAGGGGAATCGAGAAGAACGTTTGGTGAGGGATGAGTGGGACGAGGGGGAAAAGACGAAGAGGGTTCACAGAAGGGAGGATCGAAAGAGGCACATTGTTTGCCGAGCGCAGCCGATAATTCAGTAATGAACGTAACCGACGCGCGCCCGCGTTCAGAGCTATAATTACCGATACCACGTCGGATAGCGGATACCCTTAACTTCTTTCGGTCCTGAAGCGCTCGCGCGCACGCTTCCTTTTAACGTGTGCATATACCCTCTTTCTTTCTTACTTATACACGGAGAAACACGAACGCGCAAAGATTCATTCGCACGCACACAGACTCACGCATGCATATACATAGACATATGCATATACGTACACACATACACGTACATATACACTGTGTACTACACATGCACAGGTGTATGCACACGTACACAAAGAGAGATGCTACTCATTCTCTCCTGGTCCTTGGAATGGGCAGCTCTAAATTAATAAATCAATAGCCGATGCCTTATCCGATTAGCGAGTAGGTGGAGTTTGTTTGTTTAAGAGGAGGATTTATTAATTCTTCCCTGGGTGGTAGACGCTTCTAGAAGCACGTTAATCCCTCCCTCCCTCCCGCCCTTCTTTCTTTCCCTCCTTCCACCCCTTTTTTTCCTTCTCGTCCCGCTTGGGATTCTATTCGGTTCGTTCGATCATATTCAGAGATTGCTAAGTTCTCGGTATGTATAACGGATCAGCTCGATATGGAAACTTCCCTGATTCCTAGGGGAATTTTTTTAATATTCCCTCTCTCCCTCTTTTTCTCTTTCTCTCTATCTATCTGTCTATCTATCTGTCTATCTGTCTATCTATCTATCTATCTATCTATATATCTATCTATCTTTTCTTGTTTCTCTTTAAAATAAAAAAAGAAAAAAGAAAAAGAAGAAAGGAACGAAAGAAATAAAATCGAGTCACGCGTAAGTACTCATTTTACGCATCGAATGTGCGTGCGTGAGTCGTGCACCTGGTGCCATCTCTTCACGAACTCGTGAACTTACCGAGAGAGTTTTGAGGAAGGACACGAGAGAAGACAAGCGTCGCAAACGATACCCTGACGACTTTCGCTCTCTCTCTCTCTCTCTCTCTCTCTCTCTCTCTCTCTCTCTCTCTCTCTTTCTCTCTCTCTATCTCTCTATCTTCCTTCTCTTCCTTTCTATATCAAACAATTCTCGACGGGGTGTGACAAGTAATTATCATGGTGAGGAAAGATGGAAAAAGGATGGGATATTATTCGTCATCGTCGTGGCCTAACGGCCGGATTCGATCTCGCCCGAGTGAATATATATCCGGCTTGAAGAGAAATCACGCTCATAGATATCGTCGCAATAATACCCTCGACTCGTAATCGTTACTCCTGTCTCTCGGTACCGTGGCTAAGGCAAAGTAAATCGGACTTTGTAAGGATCTACAACGTTGGAAAGAATCAACCAAGTTGACCGACTAGCTAGCCAGCTGGATAGCTAGCTTAGCTAGCTAGTCAGCCGGCTAAAGTGCACCAACCCGAAGAGTGTATAGGAACGGCCAACGAGAGCGTGGATTGCCGTAGGAGCCGTAGGCAGAAATTAGTCTCGAATCTCGTTTCTTAGCTGCTCCTAGTCTTTTCTGGAGTCCGCGGCCTGATGATAATGACGGCAGAAACAGCAGTAACAGTAACAACAGCAGCAGCAGCAGCAACACAACAACAGCAGAAGTAGCAGCAGCAGCAGGTGCACGAGCCGATGCCACCTTCGCACCTCGTCGCGGTCGTTGCTCGTCTCAGCCGCGTGCTAGTTACTCTTAACTCTTCTCTCTTCCTCATCCTCCTCTTACTCCCCTTATCCTCTCTTCTTCCTCGTCGTCGTGTCGGGTCATCTCGTAATTCGTTGCTTCGTGTCGCCTCCGGGTGCTACCTACCGTGGTACGCGGCATCGAGTGAGAGAGAGAGAGAGAGAGAGAGAGAGAGAGAGAGAGAGAGAGAGAGAGAGAGAGAGAGAATACGTGTTCCACGCACGTATACACACACGTACACACTTATATCCGCATAGAAATACACGAAGAAAAGACGTATACACTCTCTAGCGAGCTCTACGCTTAATATCTCGAGCCAATCTTGGAGCTTGCATTCAGTGGGTTAGTGCCGTAAATGCCGGTAAGCATCCACCGGCTATGGCCGTTCTCGTGTGGCTACCACTACGAGAGCCGGCTAGGCAGGTATTCATTCCATTTGCAGTTATGACGAGTACGAGTTCAAAGGCCGTGAGAGTTTGCCAGGGCTCTCCTCGATTTGCTAGAGACTCTATAAGCGAGTCTGGAGCATCTCTCTATTCCCTCCCCTTTCTCTCTTATTTGCCTTGACTTTATATTGAATTTGATGGATTGATTAAGATCGATCCTGAACATTGTTTAAATGATATTCCATAATAACGACTTATTGGGAATCCGACGAATCATTAAAATTTAATCGTTATTCGAACATTATTCGGGTTAACTTATAGAAATAAGGATTTAACGTTTGAAGAATATCTTTGGTACAATTCGAGTTAGATGGTAGCGAGTAACCAGGGAGTAGTAGTAAAGAGGACTTACGTTGAGTTTTCCTCGTAGGATAGTCGTATAGCAAAGGATTAGCAACGGAGGTACGCTTTTATAAACGGCGATGAATTTTTGTCCGACTTAACGAAATGGCAAAAAGCGAATAAGCATTGCCTTCGTCGGACTATCAATCCTCCTTCGCTTGGGTATTAATACCTAAACCCTCTTGCCCATGTCGTAACGCTGAATTACGTTATACACTGGTGTCATAAAGGGGACACATAGGCTTGTTGTAAGACCTCCTCTTCTTATTCTTATTCTTCTTCTTATCCTTATTCTTTTTATTTCTTCTTTCTTCTTTCTTCTTTCTTCTTCTTTTTCTTCTTCCTCTTCTTCTTCTTGAAGCCGATACAAATAGAAATCGTTCTCCTCCTTAGCCGTTGCCATTGGTGCTATTGCTGCTATTGCTCTTTCTTTCCATCGGCAGTAGGTACCTTTTTATTTTTTCCCTTTCTTCCTTGTTTCTTTTTTCATCTTCTTCTTCTTCTTCTTCTTCTTTTTCTTTTATTCTTCCTTTTTTTTTTCTTTTTTTTTTTTTTTTTTTCTTTTTTTTTTTTATATTCCTCTCTCAAAGCCACGCGAAGCGCGCTAGCAGCCAGCGAAGCTGTCAGCGATGTTAGGTGCTCCCTTTCAATCGTTGTACTTGTAGTAGCAACTCGCGAGTCTTCTCTTTCTTTCTTTCTCACCTTCGACTTTCTTGCGGATCTTAACCTCCTCGAACGATTCATCGAACGAAAGAGTAGCACCAGTCGACGCCGGTAGTCGCAATTATAGAGTATGACTGCACAGATTCGTTTGGTAATTTGTTATCATTGAATAAACACATCGAGCAAGGTAGAAAGAAAGAGAAAGAGAGAGAGAGAAACAGATAAAGATTGGAGAACGACAAAGGGTCGTTCGTTCGTTCGTTCGTTTGTTCGTTCATTCGTTTGTTCGTTCGTTTGAACGTCAAAATGTCCGAAAATTCTGATCCTCTGGTCTCTCTTCAAGGATGATCGATTTTTCTATAGGGAACACGTATTCGGAGCATTCTCTTCATTCGGAGAATATTAACTTTCATACTCGAATTAAATAAATCCCTCAAATATCCTACCGATATATATATATATACTCATGTAAGTACTTACATACATATACTACATATATAAGTAAGACGATTTTAAATATTAAATATTTATAATATACGAATCGTGAGTGTCGACGGAAGTAGAAAAAATTTTTATCAAATTTCCAAATATATTGAAATAAAATGGAAGCTAATATCAGTACCTATAACTAGATTATTCTTATAATCGATGAAACGATTTCAAAGTACAAAGATAATCCGCTCCTGGATCTCACGGCACTTTGAAGATGTACAGATGTGTGGACGATGTTACCATCGTTTGAAAAGAAAAAGAGAAAGAGAGAGAAAGAGAGAGAGAGAGAGAGAGAGAGAGAGATATCTCCTCCTGGCAACAGGCGGTAACGTCTAAATTAAATGTTTCTGGATCGACGAGCCACGGATTCAACGTGTCATGCGCCGCTCTTAATCTGGATTTAACGGCGAGGTCTCCTCCGGCATGAGGCCACCTTGCGGTGCCTTGCCTCTTCTTCAATAGGGCTTAATTGGCGAATATTCCTGGTACGATGTATGCATGTATGTATGTATGTATGTATTTATGTGCCTTGTATAGAGACAGCATAGAACGACGAAGAAAGAAAGAAAGTGAAAGAGAGAGAGAGAGAGAGAGAGGAAAGGTTCAAGAGTAGATAGGTACCTCCACCTATATATGTATGTGTGAGAAGGAGAGAGAGAGAGAGATAAAGATAGAAAAATAGAAAAAGAGAGAGATAGATAGACGTGAGAAGGCCTCTAGAATATTGCTTCGCCTTTGAACGTGTGCTTTGGTTCCTCCACCGACGCCTCTTATTCCTCCTCCTTTTCTTCTTCTTCTTCTTCTTCTTATCCTCATTCCCCTCCTACTCCTTCCCCCTCGTCACCCTCCGCGCGCGTACACTCGAACAAGGCGCGAGGGCGAGAATGACTTCGCCGACTCACTCGCGCCTTTTGCGTAATCACGATATAATAACGACGATAACGACAATAATGATGAGCGACGGAAGCGTTAGAAGCTATGGAAAAAGGGTTTTCATAGAAACTCTCGGATCTTTCATCGTCGTCGATGGTATTGATGGACAGTATATGCATGTAGGTATTAAGTTCAAAAGGTAAGAATATCTAAATGGGTGTCTCATTTAAAGAGAGAGAGAGAGAGAGAGAGAGAGAGAGAGAGAGAGAGAGAAAGAAGAAAGAGAAGAAGAAAGAAAAAGAAAAAAGGGAAAAAAGAGAAATAGGTAAAAGCATTAATTGGATAGCTTTACAATATCTTATGTAATATTGAATTTTAATATCTATAAGGGAATTATAAGGGAAACGGAAGTTGATAAGTAACTATGTATGCGTAAGTTAACTTGATAGAATTCAATGATATGTAGATGTATTAACGAACACGCATGTATATATGTACATATCTGTTGTCGTTGTGTTCGTTTCTATTTTCATCTTATTACGGTGTTGCTCTCGAGCATCATCGTAGAGAACACCAACGACTTGCGAATATGTGAAAGAGACAGACGGACAAACAGATAGAAAGATAGAGAGAGAGAAAGATATAGATAGATAGATAGACAGAATGAGAGAGAAAAAGAGAGAAAAAGAGAGAAAGAGAGAAAGAGAAAAAAGAGAGAGGAGAAAGAAACTTCGAAACGATTTTACTACGAGGTGGAAAGAGATAAAGAGTCGGCCACACGTAAAGGTCAGGACTCGAAGCGCATCTTACGTCGTACGTGAACCAGATACGTAGGGGAAACCGTGCGTGCCTTCGAGGCCTGTCGCAGTAAATTATCATTTTCATAGCGGAGCCTCGGTCATTTTGAAACTGTCTTGGCCTACGGCTACCTCCAGACGTAACGCTAGCGAATGTAGGAATACAACGAGAAAGGGAAAACATAGGATATATATATATAGAGAGAGAGAGAGATAGAGAGAAGAAAAGATAATAATAATAAAAAAAAATGGAAAAGAAAAGGATATAAAAAAGACAGTAGCAATCGCCGATCCTTTTTACTCTTCTAAAAAGTAATACTTACCAATGAAAATGCGAAATACGTCGACGATAAAAAGGGATCTCGTACGAAGTAAACACACATCTAACCAACGCCGAAGCCGTCAATAAACTATTCTCTCTACCGTCAATTTTCTTCTAACTTCTACGATGTGATTATAGATCGCGTCTGTTAAATGTTTGTTTTTTTTTTCTTTCTTTCTTTTCTCTCTCTCTCTCTCTCTCTCTCTCTCTCTCTCTCTCTCTCTCTCTCTCTCTCTCTCTTTTCTTTTCTTCTCTATCTTTAGTGTCACCTTTCGAGAACTGATCCCGGCCGACAGACAACAAATATTTTTTCCTCTTTAAACGATGTTAAGAGCAAAATTACGTGATCTCTCTCTCTCTCTTTCTCTCTCTCTCTCTCCTTCTCTGTCTAGTTTTTTTTTCTTGTTTTTTATAAAATTACAATCTGTTGATCGCACGAATAAGATCGAATGGGCGTAAGTATTGTGCGTGACACCGCGAATTCTTTTATCCTCATTAATTACGTAATGACATATGTATCAACTTACTTACGTACCGAAGAACATGTGAAAAAGAGAGAGAGAGAGAGAGAGAGAAAGAAATGTTTGTATGCGCGCGCGCGTGTGTGTGCGTGTGAATATATACATAAATATACAACCAAATATAACGTCTTTCCTAAAGCTTCCTAGAAAATCTAGTTGGTAGTTCGAAAAGGGCCCGAAAAGGAGCATCGTATTTTTGCTTTCGAAGGATTAAGTAATAAAGCAGGCGTTACGAGCTAGTGAAATAAAGAAGGAAGAAAAATATAAAATGGTTGGACGTATTTTTCGTGCGCGATGATAAATTGTCGCCTGATTTATAATGATTTATAATGAAAGAAGATGTTAATAACTTTGATCGAATAGAAAAACGATTTCGAAAATCACGATTGACGTTTTTCGAGTAACCAAAGTTAGATGGTATTTTTATCCATTATTTTTTCTCTTTTCTTTTTATTTTCTTTTCTTTTAATATCTTTTGAAAGCCGTTTACCTCTTAGATGAGAGAGAGAGAGAGAGAGAGAGAGAGAGAGAGAGAGTATATCACGGAAAAAGACGTGTTTTCGCAGCGTGAAGTCCTTAAGGCGGATACTTATGAGCGCTTATATCACTCTGATAAAATTCACTGTCTCGCACGGCAGGCGGTAGCGAAGGGACATCTGTCTCTGACGGAATGCGAGGCTAATTGGACGGAGTATATCAAGCGCCTTGACCGTCATTCGAAGGGCCTTTCGGAATGAAATAGAAGAAGAGGAAGAAGAAGATGATAGAAGAAGATAGAAAAAGAAAAAAAGAGAAAAGAAAGAAAACGATAGAAAAAGATAAAGAAAGACGTAGTTTAGAAAAAAAATAGAGACGTTCGAGTCGCTCATCGAATGTTATTACAAAATCGTTATACTATCGTTACTTACAATATGTACTTACTTACATTATCATTGTAGATTACTTTAAAAATAACGTAAAACACAACACAATACAACACAACACAACACAACACAACACAACACGTTTAAGAATTATTTAAATCCCTTTTTTTTTCTTTTTATTTTCCTTGCTAATGAACCTCTTTAGATCTCTCTTTAACATACGAGAGTATATTATTATTACAAAATAGAAAAAAGGGAAAAAATATCATTGAGACTATATCTACATATACACATACACATGTACATACACGTACACGTATCGCATACACATACACAATTTCTTTCTTTCTTTCTCTCTTTCATTCTTTTCTTTCAGGTAGTAAGAAGGTAAGGCTCGTTTTTCGTCCAAGTCTCTTTCCCTGGTTAAACAAGAATCGTTCCTGAGTCCTCTCGATCGTTAGGTTCTTTAAGAAGCTGGAAAATGAAGTGGTTTTCTTCTCTGACAACGACAATCGGCCCCGCGAGTGCCCCGAAGCGTTTCTTCGTGCTGCGGTAGCAACGCCAAAGAGAGAAGGAGAAAAAGAGAAAGAGAAGGAGAGAGAAAGAGAGAGAGAGGAAAGACAGAGACAAAGAGATAAAGAAAGTCAGCATCAGCTAGCATCAGAAGGAACAGCAAAGGCAATGGCAACGGCAACGGCAACGGCAGCTTCCTTTCGTCGTGCAGGAGGGATCGAGCAGTGCATTACCCGTTAGACATGGCCCCCGCGCTGATATATTGACTTGGACAAAAAAGCGAGTGTTCTTCTACTCCCTGGCACCGCGGTTGCAGTCGCCGCTGCCGCCACCGCTGCAAAGACCGTTCCTTCTCTCTTTCTCTTCTTTTCTTCTATCTTCTTCTTCTTCTTCTTCTTCTTCTTCACCTCTCTCTCTCTCTCTCTCTCTCTTGCTTCTTCTTTCTTTATCTTCTTCTTTTCTCTTCATCGTTTTGTTCTTTATTGCGAAGCGAGAGAGCCGAACCGATGACTGCTACCACCAAGCTCGAAACACATTTATACGTATCCTAGCATATGGAAGATCTAACGACTAATGGACTTTCGAAGAGAGAAAGAAAAAAAAGAAAGAGAGAGAGAGACAATATTTTTCTTAACCCTTGAGATCTCGATCGGAGACTTGCCTTTGTTATGTTCCCGAGAGCAACGAAGCGAATCCGCTGATCGAAGAGAGAGAAAGAGAGAGAGAGAGAGGATCTCTTTTGTTGTTCAGGGAAAATAAAGGAAAAAAATATAGTAATATTAGAAGAAAATAAGAAGAAAATCGTCGTGTGGGAGGGGAGAGGAGGGATGAAACGCGAGCAGCAGGGAACAATTGTGTAAATTCTTTAGAGGGTTTAAAAATTGAAAATACTCAAGTAGGAGAACAAGAAGTATAATCGCGCCGCGAGAGAGTGTTAGACCAGTAGTGTGTACGCTGTGGATGCATGGAAGAGAGGACGGCTGGGGTGGGGTGAGGGATGGGGGGGGGGAGAGTTAGAGGGTGGGCGGACGGGGAAGAGGAACCTATTATAGCTCGAGGGAAGAGTAAAAGAGTATGGGACAGGTGAGATAATCAACCTGCAGTCGTAGCTCCGAGCGGCCTGCTAGTAATCACTATTCGCACTATGGCGTTTGTCTTTTAATTCTGTCTCTCTTTTTCTCTCTCTCTTTCTCTTCTTCTTCTTTTTCTTATCCTCTTCCTATCTGTTAACTCACTTTATCGTTCATTTCTCTCTCTCTCTCTCTCTCTCTCTCTCTCTCTCTCTCTCTCTCTCTTCCTCTATTTCTCTGTCGTAGTATCAGCACTGTAAACACATTTGCAAGGATCATCGATGAAAGCTCGAAGCTGCTATTTCGTAGTTACTTTTTTTTTGTTATCGATTCCCTTCCCCTCTTCCCTTGAACTTCCTAACCCTTCAACACTTTCGAAACTTCCTTGTAAGTACTTATCTCATAGGCCATTTCCTCGATGCAATGTTCGATCCCTTCGACAAAACAGGGATAATTCGTTAATCCTCATTCATCTATCGTTAAACTTTTCCATCTCGTTTAAATAACGATGATAGAAGGTCACTTTCGATTTCTCTTTTTGTATAGGCGAATAGGGCGACGATGACCGAGATTTTTCTATTCCTCGCACGAATTATTGTGAAACAGATTGCGCGAGTGCGGTTTTCCGTGACACGATGTTGTAACTTCTGCTTAACTGTCTTGGTTGACTGACCAAGTCAGATGGAAACCACAATGTTGAGAGTTCGATGATTTGTGTTGGGAACTTATCTCGAAACTGGTGAATTTTCAACAAACATTTGCAACGATCAACGACAACGACGAAGACTATGACTATGATGATGATGATGATGATGACGATGATGACGATGATGATGACGATGATAATGACGATGACGATGACGACGATGATGGTGATGATGATGACGATGATGGATGTATCATCGTTCCTAAAATACCCCTGTCTGATAATATCGTTTCTCGTGTTCGAAGTAACTGGTAGCTAGAGTTCGAATTGCTTTTCTAAACACGCTCGAGCCTCGAGCAAGACACGCGGCTAAGAAACAGGAGAGGAAGAAGGAGGAGAAGAAGAAGAAGAAGTAGAAGAAGAAGTAGAAGAAGAAAGAGAAAGAGAAAGAGAAGAAGAAGAAGAAGAAGAAGAAGAAGAAGAAGGTTCAAAGCGAACATTGTCACGAGTATATCTCGTAGGTAGCGTGAGAACGCTCTCGGTGAACGTTAAACAAGCCACAAGAGAAGGAGGAAGAAGAGGAGGAGAAGATGAAGAAGGAGGAGGAGAAGGAGGAGGAAGAGATAAAGAAGAAGGAGGAGAAGAAGAAGACGAAGAAGAAGAAGAGATTTTAGATTCGTAATATGGGATTTTATATTTCGCGCGTAACGCGCTTTGCCAATACGGTAAACAACGGTTATACATATAAACACACATCACCTTCTCGTATTCGTCGCGTCGTCTATCTAACCCAGTGACATTATGCTCGCGAAGAATCCGCAAAGAACTGCCATTATAACGCGGCGACGCAATCGTCCCTAGAGATACTTCCTCCTTTTTCTCTTTCCTCTCGTACCTAAGGTGGACCGTTCGCAACCTGTGTCAAACGATTCTGTGTACCTGAGTGTATATCGACGTATTTATGTATCCATGTGTGTTACCCATATACGTATGTAAGTATATATGTATGTATGTAAGTGGACAATAGTCTTCGAGTTTTCTCACGTGGGCTTTCCATACAACCAAAGAGGTGGACATGACCGTCGAGGTCATTACGTCTCGAGTACGTTCGGAGAAGTATTTTATCTGTGCGTGATATACGACCTAACCTTACTTTTCTCGAACTCTTTCTCTCTCTCTCTCTCTCTCTTTCTCTCTTTCTTACGTTTTCTTTGAATGGATCTCTATCTTTCTTTTTCTTTCTCTTTCTTCTTAGAAGGATGAAGGTAATCGTCGCTTGCTCGCTCGCTCGCTTACTTGCTTGTTTTCGTCTCTCGTCGTCCAGGTTGCACCCAATATTTTATTGGTCGAGGTAACATAACGATCAACGTAACAAAGCCGCGGCCCAGTGTGGTCCGTTCGATCTCTGATTTACCGCTCGTCTAATTTGTAGGCGGCCGCCATTAAACAATCCATAAATGCGCATACGTAAAACACTCCCGAGTAGCGACGACGACGGCGACGGTGATCGTGACGGCGACAGTGACGGTGACGGTGACGTTACCGTCGGTTGCGGAACGAACGCGAGCGGAGAGCAACTGAACGGACACGGTTCTCGTACACCGAACGATTGCACGATTTATTCATATTCAAATGTGCGCCAGTTTACGAGCGTTTGGTATGCGTTAGCGCGTGCCGATGCGCTCGTCTCTTCGATCACTTCGACGAATTTCTTTTTACGAGATGAAAGACTACAGGATTTCTTCAGGTTCGTGCGCGCGCGCGCTTCTGTGTATGCGCGTTTACACTTTGCTTCCGCATAAAAGAGCTAAAAACAATTATGTTCTACATATATACCGAGTAAGTCCGTTGTAAGGATTATAAGGACAAAAGAAAAGAAGAAGAAGAAGAAATAAAAAAGAACAAGAAAGAAAATAAAAGAAAAAAAGAAAAAAAAACAAGAAGAGAAGTATAGAAAAGTTAATAAAGATATTAAACGATACGAGCTTTTAAGTTAGATCAATGGTGTTATTTGAACGAATTCAAAATTGATATGAGAAAAAAAAGAAAAGGAAAAGGAAAGAAAAAACAACATTTATATTATCCTATCAAGTATATATAAATACTTATGTCTTTATTAACTTACTTACTTCTCACTTCCGACTAATTCGATTGACCGAAAAATTCTCGAGAATCGATCGATAATCGGTGCCCTACGTTAAACGTTTGCCCTTCCTATTCTCGCGATAACCGGAAAGTATACTTCGCACGAGGAAGCATTCGCGCTTGGAAGATCAGTATCCGGGCGTTAAAGTCTCTTCGGGGTTTGAACTCTCGACCTCTTGGTGTTAGTCTGCCTCGGGACAATACCCCAGAGTGTACGTAGCAATACTCTCGTCTCTCGATCTTTACACCTTTTCTCTATCTATTTCATTTTCCATATCTCTCTCTCTCTCTCTCTCTCTCTCTCTCTTATTTTATTTATACATATATCCATATTCATAGATACACAACATAAATCATAAATATAATTTATCAAGTTTAAATTTGTTTCGAACATTGTTACGATATGATAAATAATAAAATTAATTCTAAATTCTATACATTTTATCTTTATATATATTACTCATTCGAGCGATGTTTGCTGAATGCACCGTTTGTGCTTTGTGCATCTCTCTCTCTCTCTCTCTCTCTCTCTCTCTGTGTGTCTCTGTATGTGTATATGTGTGTGTATATGTGCTACCTATCTACTCACTTACGAGCGCGTTTTAAAGTATCAACAGTAAACAAACATACGCAGGAAAGATACACGCGAACTCGCGCGCATAGAGAGAAAAAGAGAGAGAAAGAGAAAGAGAGAGAGAGACGCACACGGCACACAGGCGGCAATTGCCCATAAACACCATTACGGCTAGCGGGGGCAAGTTACAGCGTACTTTACCGGACTTATGACGCGGCATCGCTTGAATTAGGTACTCGTTACCGGTATTACGTTTCAACCACCTCGTTCGGAGATCGAGCGTAAAGCTGCGATAGCGCCGAGAAGTTCTACAGAGTGAGAGAGAGACAGAGAGAGAGAGAGAGAAAGAGAGAGAAAGCAAATGTTCTATCTGTCTTTCTCTTTATCTTTCTCTCTCTTTCTTTTTAAGACATCGTTTCCTCTTAAGCGAGAGTCCTCCCATTCGGGAAGGGAGGCACGTGGTGCTGCGCATCGGATCTTTGGATCGCAATAAAACGAGAAGAAACGAAGGGACTCTTCGAGCTTTGAGAGACTGAATCTTTCTTTCCTAACATAAGGCAAATTGTGAGATTTCGAACGAGTATTAGGGTAAATGTGAGTATAGAAATAGAAATATATATATATATATATATATATATATAAATGGAAATAGAAATTCGATATTACTTCTTCGCGGATTTAAAAGAAACGAGGAGAAAGAATAAAATAAAGGAAGATAGAGAAAAGATCAAAGATGAGAAGAGTATAGAAAATAAGTCGGAATCCCACGGAGAAGGAAACGCATGGTCCTACCTACCTACCTACATATCACCCCTTTACTCTCGAGACTCGTACTAACATATACCTACGTATGTATTCATGCATGTATGCATGCACGTTTATATGTATGCATGCACGTTTATATGTATGCATGCATGTATGTATGTATGTACATATATACATACATATACACTACCCGTAAATCCTGAATCCCTGCGTCTAAGGTTTGAATCTCGGCTGTACCTACTCCCGTATCGGATCCTGCCATTATACCACGCAGAAGCGGCGTGTACCATTCGCGAGGGACAAACGCCTGGAATATTCCGGCTTCCATGAGATTACGCGTTCTCTCTCTCTCTTTCTCTCTCTCTTTCTGTCTTCTCAGAGCAGGAATTTAAGCGTCGATCCTGCGATCTCTGACCTACGAGCGAAATATATAAGAATGTATGAAAGCGTACGAGAATCCTCGCTCGTTAAGGACGGTATACGGTTCTAGAAACTCGGAAAGTACGATTACCATGGATATTTGTTAGCAGACAACCTCGAGCCACCATAGTACGTGTAATTACAAGAAGAGTATCGCCAAGAGACTGGTAGCTACGAGAATAGTTTCGCATCGTTAATTTGGTCAACCTAGGAACCGATCCAACAGAGATCGTAGACATAGCACGTCGACTAAATTCTCTTCGTTTATAGTTTTATCGTATTATCTTGATATATTGATTACATTGATATATTACAGTTGGAATTGTAAAGAAGATTTCTCTCATTTATGTCTAACACATGTTTTATCAATGATACGAGAATATCTTTCAAGTAAAATAGTACTTTTCGATGATCTATATAGTAATATTGATCTATAAATAAATCAATATGTATATTTTAAATTATGTAATACAGATTTAAAATCGACCAAATGATACTCGTTCTATTCGTTGAAAAAAGGAGAACGGAAATAAAAAAAATAAAATAAAGGAAAAGAAGAAAGAAACGAAGGATGGACATCCAAGACGTTTATGAAGAAATTCGAATTAAAATTACGTAACCGAGCCATAACTCGTTCTAATGCTTAAAAAAAATATATCAATCTCTTCGAAATCATTAATTTACATATCTAATCGAAAGAAGGACGGTGTTGAAGTAGATCGTTGCCATATATAGTATAGCCAACGATCCACTTGTATATATATATATATATATATATATATATATATATATATATATATATATATATATATAAGTAAGCGCATACCTAGTTACAAAACGTTTTATCAAGAATATCGATAATGGAACCTCGATCGATAATAACCATGACATATCGATTTTTTGTAAATTATACTTATCTTCAAGTTGGTAGGAAAAATGATATATCGTGGCGGCGCCAATCGATGTAATTCATAATTATAGCATTACCGTGCTGTTTTCTACTCTTTTAGATACCCCCCCGGGCTAAATTTCGTGGTATTATAGCGAGTTAAGATTGTGCTTCTGTAGAAAGGCCAGCACGGAAGTCGACTTTGACGTTCGACTTTAAAAGAAGGATCGTCGAAGCTATATACGGATGTTAAAAAAGAGAGAGAGAGAGAGAGAGAAAGAGAGACTTTAGCGACTCTCTAACATTCAAACAGTCGACACGACGTCGAAGAAACGGACATAAGAAACGCGTGGAAATAGCCCGGGGTAATTTCACACGTTAGAGGCGAAATTGTTCCTCTTGGTCGACCTCCTCCGGTCATTTGACCACTGACCGGAGTTCGCGGAAGCTTTGTGCTTCAAGGCATCCTTTCCTAAGACCGGAGTCCTTTACTCGACTACGGTGATTTATCTACTTCGGTTAATGATTACGTTTCTAATGGCTAGAAGATATCTTACATTCCAATTACGTTCCTTTCCAAACTATACCACTCATTTACGAATACCTATTTGAAAGAATTATCTTATATTCCACGAAGAGACTAGAGAAAAAGGACAAAACAAACAAAGAAGAAAAGAAAAAAGAAAAACAAAAAAGAAAAAAAAAACCAAAATGTATTAATTTTTTCATTTTAATTATTATTTTTATTATTATTATTATTATTATTATTATTATTATTATTATTATTGTTGTTGTTGTTGTTGTTGTTGTTGTTGTTGTTGTTATTGTTGTTGTCAAGTAGAACGATTATAATTGCTGAGGGGATTCTCTTTCTTTTACATTTCTTTCTTTAGAAAAAGACGAAAGAGAAGAAAGAGAAGAAGGAAGAAGAGATGGTGGTGAAGGTGGAGTTGGAGGGGGTAGAGGAGGTGGAGGAGGAGGATGAGGAGGAGGAGAAGAAGAAGAAAACATTTTCGAACATCTCCTCTCTGTAAATGCCGCGGACGCAGCACCGCCTTTATACGACTAGACGAGACGACTTTAAACCTTATGACTCGATGGAGAGTGGCTCGAGCCATAGACAAGTCGCGGTATCACGAACGGCAACGCGTAACGCGACGTGGCTTATTGCCAATGCATTTTAAGTAGTCTACCATACACTGCCTACTTCTTTCTTTCATTCTTTCCTTTCTTTATTTCTTTCTTTCTTTCTGACTCATTCTTCTTCCTTTTCTTCGTCTTCTTCTTCTTCTTCTTCTTCTTCTTCGTCTACTCCGTTTCCATCTTTCTCTCACGAGCATTGTACACCTGTGTAGCTCGTGCTTTATTCCTCTCTTACATTTATAACAAAGCATTTCTCTGTATATGTGCATGTACATATCTATATATTATATATATATATATATATATGTGTGTGTGTGTGTCTCTGCGTGTGTATTTATGTGCCGTGTATACGTTGTCCGTATACGTGCTTGTATGCGTGCGTTTGCAGTTAAAGACATTTCAATGATTTCAGAAAACTGGCAATTGTAATCAATTGTAATGAAAACATTTTTTAAATCTTGCTGACTTTCGAAAAATTACGAATATATATAAAAAGGAAGAAAAGGTAGAAAAATTCGACGTGTTTAGCTCGTGCTACGCTCTCTTCTAACATTTCTAACATTCAACCAAGTCTTTCCATGTTTATTCAATGAACATCGCCATTCAAGAATTTCGAGAAATCGTCATTGAGCGAACTGTAACTGAGAATTTTCAAAGAATCCGTGGTTTCAAAATTTACGAGTATAAATTATTCTCAAAGCTAAATATTGTTCATACTATTTCAAGAAACGAGTAAAAGTATAAGAGATAAAAAAAAAAGAAAAAGAAAAAAGAAAAAAAGAAGAAAGAGACAAGAAAAAAGAGAAGGAAAAAAAAGCAGAAAAATGTCTACAGGCCAGAAGTCTCTCGCGATTAAGTCATTTTGCGCTGGTAGCCACTGCGAAATCAGAAGACGGAATCTCTGACTTTAAGTAAGCATTGTATGGTAAACCAACGCGGAATAATTGTGGGATATCGTTTCTACCAAGAAATAACTCGACGTCACTTTACGAGATTTCC